TTTTTTTTTTTTTTAAATTGCATTTTACTATGAATTGAATGGAAATTTTCCTTCGTCTTGCTCAAGTTTAAACGATAAACTTATGTACCATGTATGAATTTCTATAAATTTTATTTAGGAAACTCTTTCACTATTCCATTCTCATTGTAGGGCCGTCTCCAAAAATATGGGTTATTTGTGTGGTAATTAAGGTTATTTGTAAATAAAATCATAGCAGCAAAAACCTAATTAAACCATACTATTAAATAAATAAATATTTGAAATAAATAACAATTTTTTTTTTAGATTTTGGAACTGATAAATTGGGTTACAAAGATCTTTAATAAATTATATTCGAGCAGTCACAAGAACACATGGAGAAGAAAATAAAAATCATTTGACTGCAAAGAATATTTATTTTCGCACAACTTGTTCTGACCAGACATCATAACAAAACAAATGAAATATTTTAGGGCCTCAAATTTCCACAAAAAATACATATATTGTCATTAGCCATTTCATTTGTGTAATGGGTCAAGTCTATATTTAGCCATTAATCCGTTTATTTGTATAAATAGGCCAAACTTAACACAAATACATAATACTAAAAAAAATGAGGCCCTAGGCATGGGCCTAGCTTGCCTCCCAAGGAGCCGGCTATTTCTCAAACAAGTTAATGATTTACCTATAATATCACTATTGAACTTTGAGGTTTATGTTCATTGTTTTGAGTAGCTTTGATTTTTTTTTTTTTTTTTTTAATATTTGATGAATTTTATTTTGCTGGTGTACTATTAAACTACATGAATTTTCTTGCTTGTTTAAATTAGAATCTTTTATCTTTAATTTTTGTATATTATATTGTTTAATTTCTTATTAGTTAGTATGAGAGAAGAGAAGAGTTATATAAATACGTTAAGTATTCATACGTGTTCATGTATAAATTTTTCTCGTATATTTAAATATTAAGGTTGATGTATATTCAATGAAAATGAAGTCTACAAAATTCTTGAAAAGTCTTCAGAAATCTATAGGAAGTCTTGAAGAATAACACATGTGACTTTTGGAGAATTTCTAATAAATCCTACAAGATCCACGAGAACTGATAAAATCTAATGAAATCATATACTTCACTAAATCTTAAAAAGTCTTTTAGAATCTTAAACGTATACACCCCTGATTTAAATTTTTAGGGAAAAAAAAGATAGTTAAAATGAAACTTGTCCAAAATAGAGAAAAAATTATGAACAAACTAATATTTATAAAATTAGTTCGAATAATCAGGTCCCAACAGCTGTCGAAAGCTCAAATAATCAAGTTGAGGCTATAGCAGGTGTAGAGGTCGTGGCCCCAGTGCACGCAACCAGATTCAATGCAGATCTCAACGATGGGACCATCAAGGAGCGTAGTCGAGACAGCAGGTCAACAGTTTGATGTGTTGGCAAAAAAAGGTCGAGCATGGTGGTAGTGGGCTCCATTGTAACGAAGTGTACCCAATAGACGATTAGTGCAATTGCTATTACTACAACGACGAGGATAAGTACGGAGATCGAAGTCAAAGTCGATGCCCCACCTAAGAAGCGTTATCTATCTATATATTAAAAGAATAACCTTTTAAGGATTCCCGCCATTTTTTCCCGCCAATATATGTATATATAATCACCCGCCAATTGTCTTTCATTAACAATGTCCTAAAACTTAGCAATTGTCTTTCCTGTTTTTTTGGTAGATAGGGTAGTCAACGGCTGATTTATTGGTATTTATTGGGTAGATAGGGTAACAAATCGACTGATTTATTG